GTGAGCTGAGTCCCCGAGGCCCCCCTCCCCCCACCCCGCTGCGCAGAGACCCTCCACCGGCACATGTGGGGCCCACACCCAACACACAGGGCGGCCTGTGCCTCGCCATGGCCTCCCTGTGGAGCTCGGACGGGTATCAATACACACAGGCACCAGATGTCACCAGAGGTGTGCAGCTGACCCTCCTGCTCCATGACCCCCTCCCTTCCGTGCCAAACCCCGGTGGGGTGGGAGCCAGGCTTGCTCCACTCTGGCCCGGGTGGGTGTTATCTCCCATTCCTAAACCAAGAATCAGGCCAGAATAAGGAAGAAAAACAGGAAACTGGGCTCAGAATAAGGACAGGATGTGTGTGTGGGGCAGCGGGGGGGGCGAGTGGTGGCCGAGCGGGGTGCTAACCCACAGCCTTGGTAATCTCACCTTCCCATGCCCACAGGGAAGTTTGTGGGGGTGGAGTCAGCCCAGGGTGCACTGCCCTCCCAGGCTCCAGAGGAAACCTTTGAGTCGGGCTGGTCAGATGTGCATGGCACTGAGGACTCCCTGGAGGAAGAGGAGGAGGAGAGATTCTGCGAAGTGCTGGAGCAGCTGGGGGTGGCCCCAGCCCTCGGCGAGTGAGTTGGTGCTGAGGCGGCTCCCAGTTCCCTCCTCTACTATCTCCCCTTTGCACGCTGCCTGTCCTTGTCGCCTGCGTGTCTGTCCCAGTTCAGGGTCCCTACGCTGGGACTGGCCCAGTCGGTCTCTGTCAGCTGTGACACCTGGGAGGGGCTGAGCGTGATTTCCCGCAGAATTTGCATTTCAGGGGGCAGCCGACAAGGCTGTGGGAAGAAGGGCAGGCGCTGGGCACAGCCCTGTGTGTATACACCTCGCTGCCCCACAAGACCCGTACACACCGACCTCAGGCAGGGGCAGAAGCACCCACAAGAGGGGTACCCCGCATGCAGCAAACGCAGCTGGGCTATCCGGGGCTGCAAGTCTCCAGAGGGCTCACCCTTCGGGATGGGGTCGGGGAGCGCCCGTTTCAGTTTCAGCCCCAGCCCCTGCCCTCCCCCTGCAGGCAGCCAGCGGTGCGGACGCTCTGGACCCGGCTGCAGCGTGAGCGACCCGAGCTGCTGGGCTCCTTCGAGGACGTTCTGATGCGCGCGTCGGCCTGCCTGGAGGAGGCGGCCCGAGAGCGGGACAGCCTGGAGCAGGCGCTGCGGCGGTGAGGGCTGGGACCAGGGCGGGGCCTGGGGCCCAGGTGGCTGGACTTCGGGAAGCAGTAGAGGCAGGGCTGGGGTCTGTAGTGCCGGCCGGCTCAAAGCAGCTGCCTCACCCCCTGCCCCCCAAAGGCGGGAGAGCGAGCACGAGAGGGAGGTGCGTTGTCTGTACGAGGAGATGGAGCAGCGGCTTCGCGAGCAGCGCCAGCGTCTGCGGAGTCAGGTGGGCCCGACGCCCCAGTCCCACCCGGCGCAGCCCGATCCCAGACGCACGTGTCTCCCTGACTCCTTTCCACCCGCACCCCCCGCCCCGGCCCCTGCCCCTCCACCGCCCGCTGAGGCTCAGGAGCTCTCCGCGAATCCCAGGACCTCCCCCGGGAGGAGGGCAGAGGCCTCCTGGAGCTGGAGCTGCAGAGCCGCGAGCAGGAACTGGAGCGCGCGGGCCTGCGACAGCGGGAGGTGAGTGGCCGCCCGCCCCTGCCGGGGAGGGGTGGGACCCGCCGAGCCCAGGGCCCTGTCCCCACTGTCACCCACACACTCCCCGGTGTGCTTGAGGTCCCCTGGACCTCAGTGCCCCCGGCCCTGGAATCGCTGGGAGTCAGGGGTGAACGCAGCACCCCGAAGAAGAGGTGGAGGGGTCCTTCCCAGCTTTGATCGCCCCCTCACTCCCCAGTTGGAACAGCAGCTGCAGACCCGGGCCAGCGAGCAGCGGGAGGCGCAGGCGCAGAGCGCCCAGCTGTGGCTAGCCAACGAGGCGCTGAGAACTCAGCTGGAGGGGGCGCAGGAGCAGCTCCGGAGACTGAAGGGCGATGTGCAGGGCCGCCAGGAGCAAACCCTACGGTGCCTGGGGGAGCAGGGAGGAGGCAAATCTTCAGGGGCGGGCCCGGGGAGGGGGTCGGGCTGGCGGGCGAGGCGGGACCGGATCGCTTTTGGGGCTCAGGTCTGGGCCACTTCCATCCCCATCCCACGTCCCAGCCCCGCCCTCAGGGTCTGCGTAGGCTAGGGTCGTGGGACGCCCCAACGAGCCTCCCTGCATCCCGGTCACCTCCTCCCTCCTGCAGAGAGGTGGCCACAGTCTCGAGGAACATGCAAAAAGAGAAGCTCAGCCTCCTGCGACAACTGGAGCTCCTCAGGTGCGGTCTGGCTCAGGCCCCACGAGGGAAGGGGCTTGGCACAGCTCGGGAGCTCCTAGCTCCCGACATTCCTGACCACTGCCTCATCCCACTTGGAGGAAGTCCTTCCTTGTGTCTCTCCTCCATCCCTCATGCGGCAGCCCCAGCCAGACACCTCTCTTCTGGTCTGAGGGAGAGCAGAGCCCGTATTCCCCACCCAGGAATGCTGCCTCTTGAGACCTCTTAGGGCCCGTGGACTCCCCTTTCCTAGGGAGCTGAACACGCGGCTACGGGACCAGAGGGACGCCTGTGAGGCCAAGCGGCTGGGCAGTGGTCGAAGGAAAGCTCTGGCCGTGGCGCGCTTGCCGGGGCCCACCTGTTGCTGCTGCTGCAGCTGGGCTCGCCCTCCGAGACGTGGCTCTGGCCACCTTCCCAGTGCCCACTGACCATCCCCGAGAGACTCCCTGGGCGTTACTCGGAGAAGCTGCCCCTTGAAGGTGGTGTGTCGTGGCTAGGGGCTGCCCATCCAGGATGTGGGCTCTATTTAGTGGACTGTCTGACCTGCCTGCATGCAGACATGAAGGAACTCACCTAGGACTGGTCAGAGTCTCCTGTGCCTCCCTGCTGGTCCTCATGCTGTCCCCATCCTATCAAACCCATCTCTGACCAGCAGAAAAACGCCCTCCTCCTAATAAAGTCCACGACTGCACTGTGACCTCCTTGGCCTATGTGGGCGGGAGCCACACTACACACGTGGGGTGTCCATGGTACACTCAAGGCAAGTGTGTAGCACAGATGCAGGGCCCTGTGGTGCTGGGGCTGCAGATGTCCCCGCAGGTCTCTGGTCACGCCTTCCAGACCTCGCTGTCCATTAGAGCTGAAGCCCCAAGGGGCCCCGCTGTGGGAACAAGGGAACTGAGGCCCATTGTCTCACTAGGGAGCCTGCTCCTGGCCTCAGTTGACCACCCACTCCCCAAACCAGCCCGTCCTGAGTGGGACCTCCAAAAGGGTGGGTCTGCAGCCACTGCTCACGCCCCTCCCTCCACCCTCCCTGGGAAGCTGGGAGCTGCTGGCCAGAATCAGGAACCCTGGGCAAGGAGCTGGGGACGAGTGCTGCCCACTGTCCATGGAGAACTATTCCAAATGACTGCAGATTCTGACCAACCCTGCCTGGGTCTGGGAATGAGCCTGGTGGGTTGGGAGTCCCCTCCCCCTCCTTACTCCCACTGTCGGTTTCCCAGTCTCCCAGGTCGGCAGGCTCTGCCCTGTTTCCCTCACTCCTTTCCACCCCTCCCAGGACCGATGCCTTCCAGACTGAACTGTCTCTGGCAGGGACCCCAGGCCTCCGCTCCAGGCTGTCCTCCATACTGCACCCAAAGAGACCCCACTCTTGCATCTGATCACACCTCCAGATCCTCCCGCAAGGCCAGCATCTGTTCTGCCGACCCTGCAGCCTCCGGGTGGTCCCTGGGTTTCGAGGAGAGAACCAGAACCGGGGCTGGGCCTGGAGAAGGGCCGGGTCTTGGACACAGTCCAGAGCCCTGGCCGGGCTGGCCGCCGTCGCCACCTCCACCGCCCCCAGCCCAGCTCCTCCGTCTCCCGAGGGTGTAAGTCCTTGGCTGGGCTACGGGCGCCCGCGGGCTGCAGCACGCCCGCCTCCGCAGTCCCGGGCGGACCCTCAGCC